AAAGAGGGTATACATATAGAGGACAATTATGTAATTATTTGAATATATCAAGGGCAGTATGGTAATTTGTTGGACCTGGGTCGGGATGGGGAGAAGTCTATCCCCATCCTCGATATTCTAGGGAATCCCTAAACCATTCGGGCAGGTAAAAGGCCCATCCATAAGAGAGAAGCTTATAGTTGAAGGTTATGTTAAGTAAATTGTAAACATATCAGGTTAATTTTGAAAAGCTGCTTGATTAATTTTCTGAATTGCCTAATAAATGTCTAGTGAATGATGAGTAGAACTAAGAAGAATTTCCATCATTGCTTGGTTGAGAAAGCTACTGTTGCATGAAAATTATTGTTGCTTAGAGAACTATTAAACAAAGTTGTTATTGGTTTAGTTACTATTTTTTTCAAGCTACCTATTGAGGTAGAGTTAGTGCTGGTTTAGCTATTGATGATTTTCAAACTTCCTATTAAAGTAACTTTACTGCTGGTTTAGCTATTGATGATTTTCAAACTTCCTATTGAAGTAACTTTACTGCTGGTTCAATCACAGATGATGTTGAAGTTGCCTATTGAATTCATGAGTTACTGCTAGTTTAGTTACAGATGATGTTAAAGATGCCTATTGAAGTAAAGTTGTTGCTGGTGTAGTCACTGATGATGTTCAAGCAAAGATACTGATGTTTTAGTTACTGTTATTGGTGGTTTTTTAAATGATATGCAAACAGAGTTACTGATGTTTTAGTTACTGTTGTTGGTAATTTTTCAATTTGCTGATTATCTATGCTGCTAAATTTATCTACTGGTGATTTTTCAAAGCTGCTGAATTTTGGTATTTTTCAAAGCTGTTGAATTATGTGACTGCCTTGGTGAATTTTTAAAGTTGCTAAATTTTGTTGATTTTTCAAAGCTTTTGTATTATGTTACTGTTGAATAGAATTGTGTTACTGTTGTGGTGATTTTTCAAAGTTGCTGAATTTTGGGAATTTTTTAAAGATACTGCATTGTATTACTGTTGAATTTCCATTCTGAGTTTACTACTGATTATCTATGCTATTGAAGAAGAATTATTGTTGAATTTATTGAGTTGTTGCTAATATTTCAAGCTGCTGAAATTGGTTATGGCTACTCATAACAGGATTAAAACCATAAGTTATGTTTAAGGGAGGATGTTAGGAAGATTTATCACAGTTTAGCTTAAGGGAGGATGTTTGTGTTATAAGCCAAACTGGTTAAGTCAAATAACTTGTCGTTTACTGTAATATTCTCTCTAGCTAGTAATTCTTTGAGAGGTATATGATAAAATCCACTAAATAACTTTTGAAAACATATATACATATGTGTATATAATGTAAAATCCAAAAACTCTAATTTTAATTCATATAAATATATACACAAAATAACTAATATACTTTAATAAGTACAAAATATCCTTGGACAGTGCTGCAAAACTCCTCCGCTTACTGACTTCCCACCCGACCGTAATTCATCTAGTACCTACAAAACAGTAAAATAACGGAGTGAGCACTAATAGATCAGTAAGTAAACCAAACTACAGTACTATTTTCCCTCCGTTACTCACATTCTGGCTTTCCTTTTCTGACTCCAATCTTTTCTAATATTCTTCATTCTTTTCTAATATTCTTCATTCTTTTCTATTATTCTTCATTCTTTTCTAATATTCTAATTTGCTACTACCGATGAGCAAGAACAATTAATAAAAATGTACATCGTTGAGCACATAAGAAATTCTAATTAATGCAAGTAGCATAATGCATATGCAAAATAATAAACTTTTCCTAGGAAATAAATTTTCTTTTCTTTTTTGTTTTCTGTCTCTTATTCTATTTCTGTTTCTGTTTCTTTATTCTATTCTGGTTTGTTGATCGGACTAGACTGAGGCATGGATTTAGAACCCTGGCCGTGTGAGTGTATTCTAAAATTATTTTTGGGTACAGTCCCCATCCACATGCACTTCTAACAGACTGTACAAATTCTGTTTTTCTATTCTGAGGCCACTCACTGATGGCGGCGTGCATGTAAGAATTTTCTGCATCTCTATCACTCACGGGTTCCTCATCGCAACAACCTTCTAACTAATATTCTATATTTCTGAAAAAGATTCTATACACATTTCTAAATAAGTTTCCAAGCTATGGGAGTTCTATAATTGCATTCTTTAATAAATAGGAAAATATATAAACTTACATGTTAGCTTAAAAAGAAACTACAAGTCATTTTCTTTTCTTTCTTTCTCTCACTCTTTGCTAACATTTCCCTTAATATTCTCACTTACCAAATCAAGTATGTACAAATAATAAGCACAATATATGTATGGCCAAGCCCATTTGACGTTCTTTCCAAGTTCAAATACACAAACTTGAGAATTCATTATGGCATATTGATATGTCATGACAGATTCTACCATTCTCTACTATCAACAATGCCATATCAAAGTAACAATTTAACATACAATTCCTTTCTAACACTTTCCCAAAGTAATAAGTTTCACAATTTCAAGAAATACTAAAGGGTCAAGTAACTTGAACCATGTACTAAAAACCATTTATCTCATTTAACTAACATGACCAAGTGATATTCTAAAATTTTGGCATAACAAAATGCACTTTTGAATACTAAAATTTACAATTGGTTAAGACCAACATAATCTTTCTACTCCAATTCTTGCCTTTCTCTAACCATTTCTTCAATAGGATTTAACCAACTCATGCATGCATTTCTCTTTGGATTTTCTTCAAACAATTCATATGCACATGCAAATACTTAGTTGGCCACACTTCCACATCTCTCTAAATCCACCAAAATTTGAGCAAAAACTCACTAACTTTAGCCTTAAACCTAGCCGGTTTCAACAATTCTTCAACACTTAAAGTTTCAATAATAATTCTTCAATAATTCCACCAAATCACCACATACTCATACACTACTTCTCATGGCTGGAAATTTACACATCATTCAACATCACAACCAATAATTCCCACCATACAATTACATACAAACATGCAATAATCATTCTACACAATTATTGCTCAAATCAAAACTAAAATTGGGTTTACTTACCTTGAAATTGTACAACACTAGTGATATAACCTCCCTTTGCTAAAATTCTCTTCCTCTTGGACCTAGATCATATAAAACCATAAGAATTTAAAACTTTAAAGTTTAATCACACACCTTGTGCTAGAATCTTACCTTTGGATGCTTTAGGATTGAAAATCTACAAAAATCTAAGCCAATCCTATGAATTCACTTTGAGATTTGGTGAAGAAATTTGAGAGAAAAGGGGGTGATGGTGGCGTGTACAAGGGCTAAAAAAATGGTTAGGGTTTATTCTAATGAATCCTTATAACTAATAATATATACAAGTATTCCTATTTTGCCCTTGCACTTTCTAAGAAATCCCATCTATATCATTTAGTCAATTACCAAAGTACTCTCATTTCTATTATCTTCTTCACATTATTTTGCTTCCTTTCACTCCCCAATTTTTCATCTATTTATGAGTGAAAATACCATTTTAGCCCTAATGAAGTTTTAAGGAGTTTTCTTCACATTTGTCTAAGGTAACTTCAAAGAAATCCAACTAAGGGTATTAGGGCATAAAATGTGGGTGTTACATTTATTACCTGTTTGTTAGTTACAATTTTTGTTAGTTGACTGTTAACTTAAAGCTATATAAAACAACACAACAATGTGCTCTCTTCTTCATAAGCATCACAAATTAGCTCTGTCACTAAACTTCTCTTTGGTGGCTCTCGCTCGCTAATTGGGATTTTTCCTTCCATTGTACATATTTTTAGCATTTAACCCCTTCTATAGGTAATACATGAGGAAAATGCTACATTTACAACCCAATCTCACAACCTTTTCTTACAACCTTAACGCAATAACAAATTAGCATTGTCACGTCAACTCCCACTGCACCCAAGGCATCAAAGGCATTACTAGAAATGAACGGTCATTCCTTCAGAAAGAAAGGTCTTTCTAAGGAATAACTATTCCTTAAGGAGCAACCATTCCTTTGGTTGTTCTAATCATTTCTTTCATAAGGAATGACTATTCCTTATTATGGACGGCCATTAGGAATGACTATTCCTTATTTATGAACGATCATTCCTTTGGTTGTTCCTTTATAAAGAATGATCATTCCTTCCCTGAGGAACGACCATTCATTCATAAGGAATGACTGTTCCCTACGAAAGAAAGATTGTTTCTTTGGTCTAGTTAAAATCATTTTGACGTGATAACTCCAACTTAGCTGCCACGTCGGAGTTGTAAGAGAAATTTGTGAAAAAAGGTTATGGGCATAGCATTTCTCATACATGAGATACTATTCCTAATAAGATTCAAATTTCTTATCCAAATAAAACTTTTATTTTAATTCTTAATACAAATAATATTCATATTCTTAATTGTATTTCTCTTCCATTTCGTCTCCTATGTTCATTTGTTGTTTCGTCTCATTTGTTGTTTTAAGTGTGACTTAAATTACAAATCACCAATTCCTTTTTAGTTTAAGGAATTTAATTTCCTATTAGAAAAAAAAAAAAAAAAACTTTGATATATGATTATGATTTAATATCCTAATTGAATTTGGTTTACATATCCGACTAGATTTAGTTTACCTTTCATCACCCTAGATTTAGATCTAGATCCACCTCGGTTGTTTCTTGATTTGTCACCATATCTGTCGTCTTCTTAACGACCAACTTGTTTGCTAAAGAATATATCTTCAACAAATTTGATTTGTCATCACATCGGTTGTACTTTCATCATATATTTAATTCATTTTAATAGTCGCTCTCTGATCACAATATGCTATATGTAATCAACTCGTTTGAAAGAGTAACGTCAGTGGAATTTTTTTGTAATATAAACTTATGTGTAAATAACATGCAAAATATTATACTTGAACACATGAAAAATATAGTGGCAATTAGTAAAAAATTAATGACCTTCAACATCTATATGCAGTTCAATTTTGTAAAATAGAACAAGGAGCACTTTTTTACTATAAATATTATTGCATAACCATAGTACAAAACGTGTCCTCTATTATCAACTTATTTTGGCTCTAATCCAATTACTTAAAAGCATTCAACTTAAGCTTCGTTATTCTCATGTAGAATTTGGATAAAATCGCGAAGAACTGCGACAGTATTGTTAGCTGTAATGTCCCGATAACTCGGAGTACCTGCTTTATCAGCTCCAGATAAATCTGATAGCCCGCGGATGGCAATTACTTTGTACCCATTTGACGAGCTTGTCTATAAAATTTAATAATATTAATCAGTTTCTTTAGCAGATAAATATTTAATTGAGGACATTGATATAGTTTAAACCTGTGGAGAAATGGAACAGACTGCAGAATATTATTAGATTGAAACCTTACCATCACAACAGCTGAACTCTCCGCGTCGTGGACTGAAACTTTAAATTCGTCATACAGGAAGGTCCTGTAAGCTAAATTCTCCAGAGATATATCGGCCGTGGAGCCGTTAACTCCGACTACTACCTTCGGCTTTTGTGGGAGTCCCGTTTCATTCAATTCCACCTAAAACATTAAGTGAAAAAAAAAAAAAACACTGATCTCAGAATAAATGAGAGAGAAACTATATAAAGTTTTTAACATTTACAGGGAATACTCAAATAGTAGGATATTCTTATCCCGATACGAACTTTACCTGAATAAATAAAGCTATCGATTTTTATACAAATATCACAAAAATTCCAACGACCACCTAATACTTATTTAATCAGCTCAAGTAGATTAGGATAGGTAATTATTTTTGTTAAAATTTGAGGTGGTTGACTCCTATCAATAAGACTTTGTTGAATGGGAGGTTACCTCCTCTATAAACCAATAGGCTTAAGTGTGTCTAGTCGATGTAGGACTCCAATACTCTCCTCACGATCAGCCCATATGTTAGGTCATGCCTGTTATTGGGGGTAGTTACCGACTCTAACTCCTCACCCGCTGGTCAAGCGCTTAGCTCAACTGAACCTGGACTCGATATCATGTTAGAATTTGAGGTGGGTCTGACTTCTTAACCAATAAGGCTTTGTTGAATGGGAGGATTACCCCTCTTATAACCCAATAGGCTTGAGCGTGCCTAGTTGATGTGGGACTCCAATAATTTTCAATAATCACTTAAAGTTTACCTAAATTATAACTATTTCAATCATAAAAGCAACTTGACAAGAAGTACTAGAATAATTAATGAATTATACAGCATAATTTAGGTAGGTATCTAACCTTATCCACTAATTGAAAAGCGAGGTCAACCCACTTCTGGTGGGATTAAACCATGTTTCTGAAATATCAACGTTAGGCTCCCCCTTCGGGGGGAAAAATCTTTCACCACGGAATGCGACACGTCCCAATCTAGTGAACTCTCCTTCTCTGCTTTGGGTTGATGGTATTCCCCGATGATCAAATCATCCTTAGTTACATGGGAATGGGTTGTTTGTGCATTTGGGTTCTGCCAATTATGAAAATTCCTTGGAAGGTGAATAACAATAGCAACTAATAAAAAAAGTTAAAATTATGGAGCTTAAATATATATATAAATACCAGCATATCGTAAACGGCCGTATTAGCAACTCGTTTTATTACAGCAACGTCTCCATAGCTTATTGTAGGGTCCAAACTTCCAGCAATGCCAAAATGGACAATTCCCCTCATGTTAAAAAATCTGCCAGTTGTTGTGTGGCTGCAGCCGCGTTCACACATTCAACCAACGCCACATCCAAATAAATTTTGTCAAGAAATTATATAAAATTATATCATTTCTTTAATTAGAGATCATAACAAAAAAAAAAAAAAAAAAAAAAAAAAAATCTCACCATTCAACCCACACCTAACATAGATTACTACGCGTTCACCGTTCCCACCCGAAATCGTCTGCCTGCAACATTTTACCGGGGCATTTTAGCTTGCAAGAAAAACAACACATGGATCTAAGATTACTAGACAAGAAATTATATCCTGGAGATATAATGGATAATTACTTGACAGATCCACGTGAGATTTTTCCACAAAAATTTTACTTGCATTAAAAGCTGCCTCTTCAGGTGGATACACAGTGAGGAGGACAGATACGGCCCGTTGGAGTTTATTTCTTTGATTTTCTTCAGGGTACTGTCTCGTATTTTGCTGATACGGAAACAACTAGTATAGAGATCAAAGCCAGAAGTACCAAGCTGAAGAAACTTGTTAGCACCCATCTTCAGTTTGAGCACCAAGAAAATGAGACAATACTAAGATTTGCTACTGATGAGAATTATCAGCAAGTCTACCACTAATAATATAGTTGATGAAGAGATTAAGATAAGTACTACGATTAAGCCTACACGTGAAGTATCTTCTCTAGATTTAAGCAACATAAAAAATTAAGGCAAACATTTGTTTTGGTCAGAAATTGTTAGCTTGTAGACTTAATTAATTCAGGATTGTGAAACCAATAATGCGTGGAAAATATTGTTTAATAGATATGTTTGTCTTGGGTGGGACAATACGACAATGATTTATAGAGATCATAAGCCATTTTCGAGATTGACAGCCGCAAACAATTATTAATTGTTCATAGCATCAAAGTACACGTTAATATGAGCTAAAAGAACTTGATATTATTCATTTGTCGATTAACTTGATCTCAGTCTATATTTAACCATTACCGGTCAATCGTCATAGAGGGTCCGTTTGGGGTCATAGATGCTTTAAATGTGATTATACATAGTTTTAGTAACTTTTTTACGGTATATGTCACATACCTATTGTAGGAATGTTTAATTTTAACGCATTCAAGATTTTCGGAAACCATTAAAAATTCTCCATGCATATCTCAAGGGTAATTTTAATAATTTTTGGGGGTTTTTCGAAACTTAGATGGTTTCCAAAAAATCTAATCCTTGATGAAGAAATTAAGATTTGTACTACCATGGACGCTCCATTGGCCTGGGTTGGCCATGGCCACCACAGGTCCCACAATATTTTTTTTTTATTTTTACATTGAAGTATAACTTTTTTTACTCCTAAATATTCAGCTGTTATTTTGGCCCCCTCGTTTGCTGAACTTGACATTTTAACCCGTAATGGAACTTTCCAAATTTATTTTTTATACTCTAACCCTGTCAGTTGAAAACTACACTTTGCCCCCTTAGGTAAAATTTTCCGGCTCTTGTTATCAAACCTAACCGTGAAGAATTAACTCTTTTAGTAAATTGAGAAGAATAAAGAAAAAGATAAAGCTAATGAGAAGGTGTTCACATGCGAATATGGAATGAGAATATATGACATTATTCTCATTCCTATTGTATTTTAGATATTATTCTCTTTCTTTTATTGAGAGATTGTATTATTATTGTAATATTTTCTATCCTTACATATCTATCACACTTTTGTATAAATAGGTTGTGTATTCACATACAATTCACAACAACTTAATACAATTCCATACGATACAATTGAATTTTCATCTAAAGATATATCTTGGGCATACTCTGGCTTTTTTCAAATTGCATCTCTTGCCCTCTCAATTCTGACATGGTATCAAAGCCTCCAAGTTTAGGATAGTGAATAGCTATTTATATGGATATATGCATGTCTTGGAAAATTCTGTCAACAAGATGATAAATGTCTAAGGAGGCTATAAGGAAACAAAATAATGTAATTACACTCAATCAAGAAATTGATTGATTGATTGATTTTGGGTGATTGCCAATCATAATAACGTAACTACACTCAATTAGGGAATTGACTGATTGAGTGGTTTTGGGTGATTGACAAAATCTTAGTGATTAGCCACAATTGTGGCATTCATATTTCATCAGAAGGAAGCTACCGTGAAAAAGATATTATAAATAAAATTAAAAATATGAACATAGATCAGTTGCATGTCTATAAATAAAAAAACAAAATTATATAATTAATTTGTTTCCTTGTTCTTCAAGCTATACACATATTCTCGCTTTTTAATGAGATTGCATTGAGAGTTCTATTACAGAGAATCTGGGATCTATAGAATCTAGGATACATTAAACCTCTTAAGAACCATCTAATATGTTGCTCCAACTCAAATGTGCCCAGACTTGGTTTAATTTTGTAGTTAGTTAAAGTAGCTTAGGTTAATTATGTATATAAAGGAGCTAACTACCTATTCTTGGCAGTTGGTTGCTGGTGTGGTGGGTGGGTGGGGACTTTCTTTGAACAGGTGGTTGGCTAGCTGGGTTTGGGGGAATGCAATTGCAGGGGGTTATAGGTGGTAATGGGAGACTTCAATCAGCAGTCTAAGAAACCAACACAACTCCAAAAACAATCAACACAACTTCAAACAAACAATAACCAAGCTACAACACAAACCCACTCTTCAACCAAGGGTAGTCGCACAACAATAGTTGTCGTGCGATTGTGAGGGATGGGTGGCGACGATTAAGGTTGGGGGAAGGTTGCGGGGTGAAGTCAAATTTGGGATGTAATGGTGAGAGAAAGCGGCGTTGGTGGAAACAGTCACGCGCAATGCAGTAGGTGGTTTGCGCAAGTGCATGCTCGGTTGTTGTTCCTCCTGCAATTGTGGGCTATGAATGGGGCTGAGGAATGTAAAACTTACGTTACATTACGTTACTCATGTAACGTAAATAACCTTTTGATTTTCATCAATTTTAAACCTTGATGGTCCACATTAGTTGTTCAGTTTTCAAATGCTTCAGTTTTCAAACGTTTGGGATTTATGGCAACCATTAAGCATGCCATTAAGAGCTTGATGGAAGCTTGGCTATGTATATTATTTTGGTCCCTAAGCTCAAGAACTCGAATATACTAAATTATATACCATCAATATTAGAGTGTCTTGAGAGCTTAGAAGAGCCAAAATACAGCTGCGTGAGTTTGTTTCAATGGGTGGAGGTAATTCTTGATTCCTGGTCTACAGTTTAAGAATATTATATTCTTTGTATTTCTATTTAGATTACAGATAAATGTCTTACAGTTGGTATCAGAGCCATATAATACCTCTGTCTTGATGTTTTGTAAAAGAATTTTTTGAAGCTCTCTGTTCATCCTAGTTAGTAAATACGCGTTTTATACGCGAATTATACGCCCAGCCGTATAATTCGCGTATAAAACGCGTTTTAACGTATGTTATAAAAATTGCCGAATTATACGCGTATAATATGAATACCCGTATAATTCGCGAATTATTCGCGTATAATTCACGAATTATTCGCGTATTATTGCAAAAAAAAAAAAAAAAAAAACCATTGCTCACCCCAAAACGACGTCGTTTTAGGGGGTTTAATTCAATTACACTATCTCTTCTCTTCTTCAGTTCTTCTCCTTCCTCAGTTCGGCGACGATGACATTTTCAGCTTTTTTTCCTCAGATCTCGACGTTTTCAGCTTTTCTGCCAACTTCTCCTTCCTCAGTCTGAACGGCGAACTGGTTGAGATTTTACGGGTTTGTGTTTGTGTTTGGGGGAGAAGAATAAATTTGTGAAGGCGAACTGGTTGAGGGTTTTAACGGTTTGTGTTTTTGTTGGGGAGAAGAATAAGTTTAAAGAAAGGAAAGTATTGGCAGAAAAAATAACCTGTAAAGCAGATGCCATTGTTGGAACTCTGGAAGAAGCTGGCTTTGTGGGTGAGACCGTGACACTGAAGAGTGATTTGATTGAAGAAGAGAGAGGGAGGGGGGTTTTCAAGATGGGTCACGGGTGTTTAATTTGTGTTTGTGGTGGATTTCACCACTCAACACTGTAACTATAGATTACGTTTTATATTCTATTGCAAAACAAAAAAAAAAAAAAATATATATATATATATATTTTCTATTGGTGGGATAGAACAAGACATGGGTGGGTAGAACAAGACATGGCCTGGGAATTTGTTAAGGCAAAGAAAAATTAACGTTCCATAGGCAAAAGCAAAAGCAAAAGATTTATTGAAGTCAATGCTGAGATACATTAATAATTAGTCCAAAAGTATCAAAACAGGATCAATATTGCCGTATTTTTAAAACGTATTGATATATATATCGTATTAAACCTTATATATCCGTATCGTATTTTTTCGTATCCGAATTTATGACCGAATTTTTAAACGTATTTTTCACTATTTGCCGTATTATACCCTTAAAATTCCCGTACCGTTTTTTTGCCGTACCTTATTTACTAACTAGGCTGTTCATGGCCGTTTGAAATTTTTTTTAAATCAAAGTTTGTTTTTTAACGAAAATAATGTTATAAATCATTAGGAAATTGGATTTCTATCATTTCTGGGCTTTGAAACAATTATTTTGGAGTTTAAATAGTGGATTTCCACCTGGGTTTGCTATTGGGTCGTTTTTGTGGTATCCAATTACAGATCCGCTCAAAGGTTGAAGACGACTAAGATGACATGTCATTTTTGCTTCAGTTTTGAAACCGACATTCGTTTTCTTGTCATAAAAATATATATATATATATATTTTAGATCTGGCCCTCTGGGACTGACCCCGTGATCTCATGTAAAGAGATGTGCTACTAGGTCAAGCCACTTACGTTTCTGTCATGGAATTGGTAAAATATAATTTATACTATTTCTAATTCTGCTCATTTTAATTATGCCTATTATATTAATTTTGGTTTAATTATATGCATTTTTTGGATAAGTTAAATTGTGCAAATCCTAATTAATTATGCTCATATTTATCTTTCATGATGATTATATCTTTCTACATGCAATTTTGAATGAGTATATAT